TAAGGGTGATTATAAAGTTCTCAAGCACATATCAACGGTAAAATTTTTCTGCGAAAATAGTATTACATTAAATTTGTAATACTAATTATAGTTATTATATGGGCAATTAAAAAATTAATAAAAAAAGTTTTTTAAATCCTACACAAGGTCAAAACCTGATATTAAAGTTAACAGAGTATGGTATAGCTCGATTAAAGGATTTTCCTTGTTATTAGATCAATGAAAGAATTAAGGACCCAATTAAAAATTAAAGAATGGATTTATCAAGTGCTTCAATTTTCAAGACAATTTTGCATGGATCTTCCAATTTACTATTCAAACCTTCAGAATCTACCCAAACAACTATAAGAATTAATATCTGTGATTTTGTTTTACTTTTTACCATCATCTTTTTTTAAATGTTATTTTTCAAACTTAAAATCATCAAAAGTGATAGTAAACTTTCAATTTCAATGTGCTATTTTCTCATTAAATTGACAATTAATTAAACTTCTTCACCCTGCTTCCAGAAATAAAACATTCTCTTGATTAGAGGGTATTGCGAGTCGGTGCTCATTAACGGCCGGAGCCAAAAGGCAAACAATAAACTCAAACACAGCAGCCCCTGCACAATTCTCAACTGGCAACCAGCAGCACACGATTTTCGATTTATAATTAAGGCAGGGTGCGGGTGACAGGCAACAAGGGCGACTGCTTGTGTGTGATACCGAGAAGTGTGTGTGTGTGCAGCCCATTATGTGTCAGGAGCCGTATCGATCAGCACGCGTTTTGCCAAAAAGCAATGTTCGCCCGCCCATCGATATCAGAGAGCGCCACCCTAGGAAATTATTTTCTTTTTTGCCAGCAGTTTCTTGTACGATAACAGAGTCTCGGGTGTTAAAAAAGCAGCAGTCGTGGCCTGAATCACTACAAAAAACTGGCAGGTTAAACAACATCCTATTAAAATGTTTACTGGAATCAAACACCGCGTGTGTGTTCAAATGTTAAAGGGGAGCCAGGCTGCGAGAAAGATTTTTTTTTCATGAAGCACTACACGTACAAAGTTTTCCCTTCAAGAGGCGACTAATTTCTTTGGCCGCTCTTGAACTGTTGAAGGGAGAAGTGATTTTTTTCTCTCATCAAAAATAATGAACAGTATAAAGTTATTGATAAAAAAAAAATACTGTTTCTTTAAAGAAATTTATTTGGTAGTTAAAATTAATTTATTTTGGTTGATTCCATTAACTAATAATTCTTCTGCAATCTTTGCTATTCTGAAGTTTTTAGCGCTTTTAAATGGATATGTTCTTTGCTCTTAATGTCTTAATTTAAAAATTTTCAATTTAAAATAACATGATTTCTCGAAATCTCAATTTGCATTCGGTCCATTGCAACTTTGTGTCTATTAAAATATAATATTAGTTTCCTACAATTAATATAATATCATTTTGAACAAGGATAAATACACTTTTTTTCATTGTGATGGCGTCCTTTACTTGAGTCTTTTATTTTATTGTGTAATTGTAATTTTATAAAATATTTTTTATAAAATTTTGGATATTTTTTTCAAAAAATAAACGATCAAAAGTTGAAACAAATTCAAAATATGAATTACAGCGCATCACCCTTCAATAACCCCTTTTGTAATGAACAACACAGCCAAGCTTTTGGCTTTGTGCCGGTTCAAAAGTTTTTTGTTTTGTATTCAGTAATCCGAGTTGATCATGATTTTTATCAGAGAGGATGAGGAATTTCATTTCATATTCGAATAATAAATTTTGTCGTGTGCGTTGTGGCGGCTGGTGAAGCAACACACACCATTTTTGGCGGATTTCAAACAAGAGGCAGTAAATTTTAATTAAAAAAAGGCGCGCACAAAAGCAGCGCACATAAAACGGTGGACGCGACCTTTTGTGCTGGCCCATCGGGTTTGCACAGCCTAATTTGCTCAGGCCCAACGAGACGAGAGTAAAAAGAGCGTAAAATGGAGAAAGCAGCGGGTCTCGTTTTCAACGGGCAGACGCAAACAAACCATGGCAAAGAGACGTGATTGTTGGGGTGAAGATCAGAATTGACTTTTTTTATTATCAGACCGCAAAAAGGAAGGGGAATTCACATTTTTATTGATTTTTAGTTTGTTAATATTTTGGTGGTTGGAATTGGAAAATGTTTACGTGTGGGGGGATAACGTTATTTTAAATGCATGAAAGGTTTCATAAATAAGCTTATAATAGGATTATTTTGAGAAATTTTGTTATTTTTATTGAAGCGTCAGCCATGGATGTATTTCACCTTTGTCAAAAGTTTTAACGATTTATCCTATTTTTGTCATGGTATTTAAGAAAATAAAATTGATATAATGATAATAAAGTTGCACTAATTGTAAGTCCCCAGAATTCCAATTAGTAATGAATATTATGTTGTAGAGATTTAAAAAAAAAAAAAAAAAAAAAAACATGGAAGTATATAATTATTTTTGATAATTTTTTAAATTTCATTTCTACGGAATATTCATTTTAATTTTATCAAAACAATTATTCCATTTCCATTATAAATATTGCTAACTTTGGCATGTTTAAGCTGAATTTCGTCGTTTCTTATTGCAGTTTTATTTTTTTTCCAATTTTACCAACAACTGCCGCCTGCTGAGGCAAACGTTATGATGATGTTTTTGTTCAAAATTTAATAGGTTTAAAACGATAAAAATAAAACTTGAAAAATTGATTTAAAAAAATTGCTTATTTATAAAAAAAAAATTGCAAACTAGGCAGTAAATTATTAAATTTATTTTTTATTTTTACATTAACTTTTATTAATATTTTTTGCTCCTTAGTTTGTAAGCAAACATCTACTACTCCTACCGCATTTGTATGAACTCAAATAATGTCTTATGTTGTGTGTAACATAATATAATTTATGAAAGTGCTACAAACACTGCTTTTGAGTCTTTTCTGCACACAAACCGTTAGTTTCCACAATTTCTCTTGCTTTCTCTCTCTCTCGCAGTCCATAACGTCGCGCGCGAGGTCTTAAAACCCCCGGACAACTAACAAGAATGTGTGCTGGAGCCAGCTATGAACTCGTCAAGCAAAAAGTGGCAAAACTATTTGTCACAAGAGCCAAAAACTGAGCAGAGACGTATTTATCGCGTTTTTGTCGGGAAGCGGCTGTCGCGAGACTTTATACGATTTCGCCGAGAGTAGTGCATCAGTAAAAAAATGAATGAAAGCCGCTTTTCATAAATTACATTTTACAGAGAGATGACGCGGCGGCGCCGCCCAAAAACCCGCTTTCTCGTCCAACTCGCCAAAAAAGGGCGTGTAAAAAATGTACTGAAAAAATGTATCCATCTCAGGCTAAACCCGCCCGTGGGAACCACTTGCAGGCCGACAATTAAAAGGCGCCGTAATTAAAAAGTTCCGTGGTCGTTTGTCATCGCATCCCTGTCGGCCGGAGCGTGCGAGAAAAACTGAAATTCCCCAAATAACTAATGAGCGGGTGTCGACGGCGCAAGAGATATCCGAAGCTTTCTGTGTTGCAGGATTAATTACATTGTGTCTCTCTGTGATTTTGCGCTGCACGTTTTTGCTGTTCCTTGCTTTTGATTGCACGACGCCTCACTGCCTCGGCACAAAACGCCTGCGAATTCTTTGATTAATAATGAGACAGCCTGCCAGGGGTGGGGAGAGTAATTCAAATTATAATTCGCGACTCATGCGGTACGAGTGACACGCCGCAATCTCACGCTTGTCACCCTCAACTCGAGTTGCAATATGTTTTAATTATTATTCACTATCATAAAGGACGCGAAGTTTCTGTTTTAGATTTTATGAATAATTACTGAAATGAAACATTCCAATATTTGGTTAAGTATAATGTTTGCTGTCCGAATTAATCAAAATGATTTTTATATTATCATCATGTAAATCAATATTAATTTTTTATTTTTATTTTTCTGAACCCAGCATGCAGCACCATCAGTTTTTAAAATTGCATTAGTCCTTATTCATTAATATTGAATAAAGACAATACTCCTTGGATTTATATTAATTCAATGAAACTTTTTTTTTTATTTTGTCTTAAGAGAGTCAAAGAAGAATTTCAGTATTTATAATTCAATTAAAACCAACTTAACTAAGACAGCTGGGGAGCTGGGTATAATTTAATTTAGATTAAGGAAGCATTTTCAGGCTCAGCATTTGGCTGACTTTCATACATTGCAAAATGCTGACGAAGGGTGCTGAATTTCCCAAAGCAAACTTGGGCAAAAACTTTTGCACCCTTTCGCGAATAGCCCTCGCGAGGAAATTCCTGATTGCACGAGCCCAAAAAGTTTGGTCTTTAGTAAACAACTAAAATTCCCACTTTATTGCCAAACTTTTTGCAATCGTCTCGCCAAATTACAAAAGGGAGAGCCTGTCTTGGCACCTCTTCCACATACATTTGAACCTAAATGTAGAGTTCTTATTTCCCTTTCACCTCATTAGGCAAATAAAAAAATCAACCAACCCCCACAAAAGCAGGAAAAAAATGAGAAATAAAAAAGAAGCAGATATACGGACCATTCATTTTCGATTTTCGGACCGAGAAATAAAATAGGCGGACACGTGAAAAGTCAGAACCCATTTATTAGCCGTCAGCAGAACGAAAAAGAAAGGTCTTTGGCGGAAAATAACCGCACCGCAGCCATTCATCAGTGATCACATGTTTGACAGGCGGCGGCGGAAAGATGACACCGGCAGGGTGCCGCGCGGAAAAGTGCCGAGCTCAGCACCACCGACCCCTGCGAGATAATCCAAGGCCCGTTCAACACCACTTAAAAATATCACCCCTTCTTCTCCGGCTTCCAAGGAAAAGAATAAAAATGGGAAACAAAAAATCAATTCACAAATCTCCATTTTCCTATTTTTGTATAAAAATAATAATAATCTCAGAACTCATCAATCATCGAACAGCTGAAATTAATGGTGGCGGTGTGTGTGTGTGTGTGTAAAAGCAGAAAATAAAAAAGAAATACTCACTCCGCATCGGGGTGGTCGTTTCTGGGGGGCTGGTTTTTCACGTGAGCCTCACAGCTGATGCGGCACCACGATGGACATGGTCGCTCACACTTTCGTTCTCACTTGTCGGTCCAGTTGGTTTTCGGGACAGAGACTGTATCAGAGGGGTGGACGAGAGAGGGGCACAAGAGTGGAGCACCAGCAGCTGCAGGGAACACTGGCTGACTCTGATGATCACTCGCTACGAGTACCCGGCGGACCCAATGGGCTCCTTCCGCCGGTCGATACAGCGGCACGGCGCATGTCTCGCCCACTGCAAAGGCGCACAACCCAGAGACCAACATCAGATATAGCACCACGGAACCCAAAAGGTGCAGCGAATTTCGCTCTCTCTCGCTCTGTTTTATTATTGTCCACTGAATGAACCGGATTTTTTGCTCACAATTTATCTGCCCGTCGCAGACTCGACTTTTGCGGTCTCACTTTCTCTTTCTGTTAAAGGAAATGAAAACTCTCAAAAACTTGAAAATATATATATTAATGAAAGATCTTATGAATCTTTCCACAACAAATAAAAGTTTGAAAAATTGAAAAAATTTTCGAAAAAAATTAACAAAAGTTCCTTAAGTGGAAGCCATGTCTGCACTCAAGTAACTTTAAAAGTAGATTAATTTGTTAATTGTAATGAAAAATAGTTTTCCAAAGAACTAATTGAATCGATTGTCAGCCACCTAAAATTTTGGAATTTTAATTTTCTAAAAGTTATCATTCCCTCTAATTGTAAGTCCCATTTCTTTATTCAATTGTATTTTTCTTAGGCGCACTTGCAGGAAATGAAAAATTTCCCAGCCGTCTCTGTGTGCCCAAGCAGATGGCCGTGCCAGCTGCTTTTTATTGAATTATTATTTGCCGATAGGCGGAAATTTAAAATTCAATGGCTTTTTTATGCGCGCGCTCGCCGAATAGAATTAGCACAGCCTGGAATAATTCCGATGCGAATGGAATTACGAGACGCGCGCAATAGGAAAAAACACGGGCACACACAGACAGCGCCTGCCGGACGAATAAAAAGCTTTTTAGCGTAATGAGATTTAAACAGCGCCGACAGCCAGAAATTGTGCCGCGATTAAACACACTTTTAGCATAATCAAATATTATTCAACCGAGGTTTCTAAATTTATGCATTTTTTTTATTTAATGGATTTTTCCATCTGACATTTAATTCACATAATTACATACACTGATTGTATTACAATCTAATTTTTTCAAGAATATTATTACAACTTGAGTTTTTACATAGAAAATTGTTTTTTATTTATTTTATTTACAATTGTTTACAATTACTAATTATTTAATTTAAAAAAAAACATAAAATTTGATTAACACAATCTATATTTACCTAATTTTCAAATGCTAAATTGCTGATAAAATTGACTAGTTCTAACTTAGCATGTAAATATTCCAAAATATTTTTTAACATTTTTATGTTTAATTTTAAATTATAAATATAAACTGCAATTGTCATAATATTATTTTTTAATTTAGGTTTAAATGTTAATTTAGTATTTTATACTTTTTTTTAGCTTTTTACTTTACACATGTAATATAAGTAATATTTATTTGATAATGAAGTGTTGAAAAAATAAATATAATACATACAAACTAATTCAATCTTATTGCTGAAGTGTGAAAATGGTTAGCAATAGATCTCTGATTTCTCGGATTGTAAATCCTCAATTAATTAAAAATTAAACATATTTTAAATCTACTTTACTTTTTATGAATATAAATTACCTACCGGACGTTCATAATGAGAACTTTATATTATTAATATTTATGTTATAAAATTATTGTAAATTTCAAACACAGTGAAACTGCAAATTAAAAATTTTACACTGGATTTTTAATTTCCTTCATTTTTGATACATATAATTATTTTTGTTTTAATTATTTATTATTAAATATTTGAGGTCACTGTTTTTTTTATCAACACGTCGTAATTCAATGAAATAAAGTAGTCAATCTGACAAAGATTTGAAAATTTGAATTAGATCCATTTTTATACGCATTATTGGCCCAGTATTGAATTTCTCCAAGCCTTTTCCAATTTTAACGGCAATTTCTGCAAGAATGGAGTTCCACTTGAGGGATCCGATCCATTCACTAATTTGCAAGTACCGCTTCCAAAGCTTTGTTAAACTTTTGGTTCAACTTATCGATCCCGACCTGCTCTACGTAAAATGGTAAAAAAGAAGGCGTCGTCGATTTTCCACGTCATTTATTTCACACGGCGAGGAACGAGGCAAATAATTGATTTACATCCTGCTCGCGCGTATGAATTGCAAATTTCTTCCCCTTTAATTCTAGTTATGCATTCGGATATTCGGAAACGCGTTCACAGAGACAGCTGGCTGAATGCAAATCTCACGCCGAGAAATTTCAACCGACGAGCCAGCTTTTGTCCGAAAGAAACAAGTTGGAAATTCATGCAAAATATTAATGAAAAAATTCCGTCTGGTACATTGTTAAGCAAATTATATTTATGCCATCGTGCAGTACAGGGACAGTATTAAAGATGCATCATTAATATATTTTTTTTTGCAAGAGCTGCGTTAATATGGTTACTGCGTAGGCTATCGTACAGTTAAGGTTTCGCTCACCTATAAACTGACCCTGGCTCACCAAATATTGGAATATTTTTGAAATGGTTACATTTTCTGACTTAAAACATGTTAGAGAAACAGCTGATCGGTTGATATTTTGTTCATAGACCACCAGGTGGCGGGAACTTGCGTTTAAACGTCAAACATTGAAATGCTCACATTATTGTACAGCAGTGCCGGCTATTGTACAGGGGAGGGCCAATTATTGTACACTCCAGAGCAACGAGAAATATATCCTTTCCAAAGTTTAAGCGTCTGGGAAACATTATTATTTTAGCAAATATAATTTTAATTTTTATACCCAGAAAGGAAATTTATTTGTCATTTCCTTGATATTTTTAAAAATTTGAAATTTTGGCTTGCAGCATAATATAATTAAGGGTTTGCAAATGTTTATTTTTCTATATCAAGAAGTTTTTTTAGAAACATAGTCAAATGAGATAAGTTAAAGAAACTAAAATGAGCTTTTTTTGTAATTGTAAAATTTGCCCTAAAACTTTTTCTTGCCATTGTAATAAAGGCTAAAAAATTGAATTATCAAATTTTTACCAGAAAAAAAATTTTAGAATTTTTTCAGCATAGCCAATCGTTCTAGCGTACTATTTTAATGCAGTAGTGAAGTTTTGAGAAAAAAAATCCAAGCAGTTAAAAAGTTATGTTGTCCGAACAAAAATACTATTTTCCGAGAATCGTTAAAATATGCAATTAATTAATTTCTTTTGAACCACTGTGACTTTTTCAACCAAAATTTGATACTTTACTAAATTTTGCACGCTGAATCGATTGGCTATGCTAAAAAAATTCCTAAAAATTTTTTTCTTCAAAATATGAATTTTAATTTTTTAGCTTTATTTTAAGTGTCAAAAAAAATTTTTACAAACAAAATGACAATTGCGCAAAGAAAGTTTATTTGATTGCCTATAAATTATCTCATTTGACCATGCTTGTAAAAAATATTTTTAATTAAAAATAATAAACATTTGCAAATCCTTAATTATTATATAAAATTAGTAACACATTTTAGTTCTAAAATATATCATTACATTCAGAATAAAATTTCCTTTTGTGCTATTAATAAAAAACCACGAATAATTTTTTTCCCGGGACTCTTAACGCAAGTGTTGCTGCAAAAATTTAAGAATTGGGAAGCGCCGCCAGCAGCAAAACAGTGTACTATGGTACACTATGCAATCGCGCCCTTTTGTGCAGCGAATCAGAGGGAAATTAGGTGGGCGGAGTCAGTATTTGTTTACAATGTCTCTAGTTATGTCGAGAGTCGCTTTTCTGTTCAAAATTCGGGCGAAGTGCGGGTTTTTTGGGCGAAAACAAGAGTAAATTTGGTCCATCCCGGTGACATGCATCGGCCGAGTTCAGTTCCCAGCGAAAGCAGCAGGTTAGTTTCAATTTAAACCCGGGTTTTTAGTCTCGCCAGACGTAAAATTTTTATTTTTTTTATATACCCCGGTCCATCATCAATTTTTTTTTAGCATAAAACCACATAAAACTCATTTAAAGCGAGAAATACATAACCAGCGTCCTTGTTGTACAATCTTTGGAGCCCTGCGTTAAAGTGACCCGAATATTGTACAGCCAGGAAAAATGCATTTATCTCTCTACAGTTGATTAATTTCCAATAAATATTTTGATAAATTTAATCAAGAAGCATCAATCTATTATGCCATTGGTAGAAAAGTTCAGAATATTAGCGTATTTGAATGCAGTGGCCTAATTTCAGCAGGGGTCTCAATGCCCGTTTCATAACAACAGGAAGCCGTTGACAGGTTGCGACTTGCGACTTTGTTTTTTCCTCTTCACTCCTGATTAGAGGAGAAAATCGTTTATAAACCAATTTTTATCGACTCAAAATAGATGTGGGGTGCATTTTATGTCAATATTTTTTCAAAAAATTTCAATAGCTTAGCGATATAAATGCGGCTTTCTTACGATTTGTACAATAGCTGGAGCTGTACGATAATCCATGCAGCAACCATAATACATTTATAATGTAATTTTAACATAGAAAATAAGCCCATGTTATAGTTTAATGCAAAAAAATGTAGCTAAAAAATTTATAAAAAAAAACGCAGTTTTGTATTTTTTGTGTATCTCGTATATCTATTTCTATTATATAACTTTATAATGCATAATGATTTCTGTAGACCTATGGATCCCGCGATACATTTATTTTATCAAAAATTAAATATTTCCACCACTTTTCTTATGGCTGGTGACATAAAATTTGGGGAAATAATAAATATAATAATATTTCTTTACTTGGAGATCTTTGTACCTAAATTTAAAATGGATCCTAAATTTGAAATGAAAACAAATTCCTTCAGAACTAGTTATGGCAACCACACGTGTAATACCTGTCAATGATAAAAACGTGCGTTGTTTTCATCACTGGATGCACCGCTGTGTGTGTGTTTTGGTTTTGAGCTGCTTCCACTCGGCAGGACAGGACCGAGTTAATTAAACGGTCGAATGTGTGCCTTTTGCTTACGCATGCACGCTCTGCCTACTGATTATGCGTCCAAAAGCGGCAAACGAACACAATGACGCA